TGTTCCATACTGACAATTCAATTTGATGCAGAGAAAGGAGAGGCCAAGATGGAAAAAGGGTTGCTGTATAGTAGCTCTCTGTAAACTATTTCAGAAACTATTATGATGCCATGAAAACTGAATGCCCACCAGTGTTTTTATGAATTGACTTGCATGTTTGCTGGACTAAGATATGAATGTTAACATTAGGGATGTTTGTTATTTTGCCGATACTGTATTCAGAATGTTGTAATTTATTGGCTGGCATCCTGTTCAGTAGTTATGAAATTGTAAACTGGATTTATAATCTTGTAACCACTGGCAATTTATTGTCTGTGGTTGGTAATGACCAAATGTTACAGCAAACATACCTTTTCAGCCAAGGAACACCCCAACCAAAGGGATTTCAAGGCACTGCAAGAGGGATGCTGGGAAATGATTCTGTAGTACTCTCTTGGATACAGGGTGCATTAAGAGAAGCAGTTGTCAGGACCTTGAGGGGCCACTTGGCTTGTATACAAAGTACCCTGCAACCAGGTGAGTGCTATGGACATCATATAGAATCAAAGAACCATAGAGCTGGAAGAGGCCACAAGAGTCATCCAGTCCAACCCCCTACCATGCAGGAAGTCACAATCCAAGCACTCTCAACAGATGGCCATCCAGCCTCTGTGTAAAAACCTACAAAGAAGGAGACTCCACCACTCTCCAAGGCAGCTTGTTCTACTGTTGAACAGCTCCTATCATCAGGAAGTTCTTCCAAATGTTTAGGTGGAATATCTTTTCTTGATGTTTGAATCTATTGCCCTGTCTTTGTCTTTGGATCAGCAAAAAACAAGTACGCTCCATCTTCAATGTGATATCCCTTCAAATATTAAACATACCCAACTTCCTAAGCCATTTTTGACAGGGCATGGCTTCCAGCTCTTTCACCATTTTGGTCACCCTCCTCTGGACATGCTCCAGCTTGTCAACATTTTTCTTGAACTGTGCACCCAGAACTGGACCCAGTCTTCCAGGTGAGGTCTGACCAAAGCAGAATAGGGCTATACTATTACTTCCCTTGATCTAGAAACTATACTTTTATTGATGCAGCCTAGGATCATATTGACTGTTTTAGCTGCCCCGCAGCAGCATGCCAATTTGCAGTGCCTCAGAAACCCTTTGTCTGGTGTGCTGTCTGACTGAAAATGTACTTTTGGTGTGTGAGGGGGCAAGTGGCATTGTCAGACATAGCTAAGATTATGGAGCTCTGTCATTGTAGTTACATATGATGATGCAGAATTTTGGCCATTGTTTTTTAAAAGCCTTAGAAAGATAGGAAGATGTTCACCCGCCTGCACAATATTTCTAAAAAAGGCAATATTTTAGGAGTAATATACAAACATTATCCATCCCCTATTTCTCAGCATGTTAGCATTAATGTTAAAATGTGGGGATGACCATTGTTCTTCATTAGTTACCACCCCAAAAAATTAGGTAATACAATTAATGTACTTGTAATGCATTACTTCCAAGCCATGAGAAAATACATCACACTGTTCAT